AAACACGACGTCCCGAGAGATGTGGACGCGCTGTGTCGTAGGGTCGTGGATGCGGTAGGCCTTGACGCCCTCCATGTAGCCGATGAAGACCCCCAGCGTGCTCCGATCATCGAGCTTGCTGAAATGGTTAAGCTCCTTGGCGAAGGCGAGACAACCAAAGACACGGAGGTGGCTCACCACTGGCTTGCGCCCATGCCAGACCTCATACGGTGTCTTGCCATCAAGGGCCTTGGTGGGCGAGCGATTGAGGAGATGGATGACAGTCATCACCGCCTCCCTCAATAGATTGCTGGCATCCATCCCTCTCTGCTTGAGGAGGACGCAGGCGGTGGCCACCACCGTCTGGTTGTGGTGCTCAATGACGTCATTCTGCTATGGGGTGTATGGCGTGGGGAAGTGGCACTGGATTCCCTCATCGGCGTAGTACGCCGTGAACTCACCGCTGTTGTCGGTGCATAGCACCCGAAGCTTGTGGCTGCACTCCTTCTCTACAATAGCTTGATGTTGTCCGCAGCTGTTGCCTTGGTGTCAAGCAGCACTTCCCACATGTAGCAGGACATGTCATCAACGAGGAGTAGGAAGAAGCACTGGCCTCTAGGTGTGGCCAGTGTCACGGGGCTATAGAGGTCACCGTGCATGAGCTCTAGCTTCTCCTTGGTGTGGAAGCTCGCCTAGCGGGGGAAGGGAAGCCGTCACTGCTTGGTGAGGATGCAGGTGTCGTAGAACTGCTCCACGTGCTTGACTCATGGCATTCCCTGTACCATCTCCTTGTTGCTGAGCTGCTTCAGGGCCTCAAAGTTGAGGTGTCCAAAGCACTCATGCCATCGCCAGGCGGCGTCGTCGCGGCGGGCTGCAAGACACACCGGCTGCGCCACCTGCACATGGAGGACATAGAGGCGGTTGATGCCTCTGTTCACCTTGGCGAGAAGGCGACGATGGCGATCCCAAATGCGTAGGATCCCATGATCGATCTCCACGTGCGAGCCATTCTCATCTAGCTATCCCAAGGTGATGATAGAGTTCCTCAGTGTGGGGATATAGTAGACGCCGATGAGTAGCTGGTGCTCGCCCATCTTGGCGGTGAAGACGACAAAGCCGATGCCCTTGATCTCCACAATGGAGGCATCCCCGAACTTGATGGAGCCTCGTATGCTGGAGTCAAACTCGGAGAAGAACTCCCGCCGCTCAGTCATGTGGTGGGTGGCGCCGGTGTCGAGGTACTAGCCGTCGATCTTGTCTTCACTGGACCCGGTGCCAAGGAAGACATGGCCCCGCGGCTCATCAAGGTGGAGGAGCACCGTGGTTGTCAGCGTGGGAGAGAAGTGCAGCTTGATGCTCCCATGCATGAAAAACAGAGCCACCTCGTCACCCTCTTGCGCTTATGCGACGTGTGCCTGACCGCCGCGCTTCGCCTGCCAGCACTCCTTGGCCTAGTGGCCGGTCCTCCCACAGTTCTTGCAGGTATCGTCATGGGTGGCCTTGCGCTTGCCATCAGGAGCACCACCATGCACCTTGTCCCTCTTGCGCGGTCGACGCTTGCGGCTGCTCGATGAACCCGAGGTAGACGCACCCAAGGCCTTCCCCTTCTTCCGCTCCCGCTAGCGGGTGAGCCACTACTCCTTGGTGAAGAGAAGCTTACCACCGATGGTGACCGGGTCTGAGGGAGGTGGCTGCTCATGGTTGTCAACTGCCTTGAGGTGATCCGTCACCTCCTCGATCGATAGCTAGGAGAAGTCTAGCAACATCTCGATCGCGATGGCGACTTGCGAGTACTTCTTGGGGACGACGTGGAGGAGCTTCTCGATAGCTCTCTCCTCATCAATGTCGTTGTCACCGTACCGTGCCAACTGCTACATTGGGGTGTAGAGGCGGAGAGCAAAGTCGTCGACGTCCTCACTGTAGGTATTTATTAACACACACAGAAAATTCTGCAAGCGCTCGGATACCATTATAGCTTTTACCCGAGAGTATTCCAGAGTATCATATTTATCCACAGGGAAGCAATGTTCAAAGAACTTGATAGTTCACCATCATGTATCTACTAACTAATATACCAACTAGACTAAAGTGAGGGTAAGTATTGATAATGATAGGAGTTATGCATAATGACACACATAGGAGGATTCTATGATAAAAGAGTAGTTTAGCTAAATCGAGAGAACAACAGGAGAGTTCAAGGTTCCTATATACTTATCTATTACTTTGGTTATATGATAATTGAAGCATAGGTACATATAGCAATCACACAATAATACTTTGGGACATCAGAACTCTAGCCACAGAGAGGGATGAGAAAAGGGCTAGGAAGCTCTGACTACGGTCCTACAAACATCAACCTACACGTGGTGGACTACGTCGGCCGTCACGGCTATCACCAACTGGGGCTACCACAACTATCCGTGAGGTTGAGTGCAATCTTAGGTAATCTCTAGTCTAGACACCATGTCTATACTATCGATTACTACTCTAATCATGTACGATAACTAGAGCACCCGATGCGAGTGGAGATCCCATGCTAAGGTGTAATAACTACACTAACCAATCATATGAAAGGCATAAAAGTAGATAGAGAAGATAAATATATTAAAGCATAAGTCTTGCAAAGGTAAGATACATAGATATACCAGACCTCCGAAGAATTCTCTAGAACCTGAGCGTAGCTTGACTCTCCCTAACTCTCAACTAGAACTAATCTACTACATTGGAGAGAGGTTGATCCTTCAATGGAACACCTCTCAATCCGTGCCCTAATCCTTCTAGTGAGGTCTTGATCCCAAGAGATGAATATGAATTAGGGTTTTAGGGATGATCTCCAGGGAGGGGGCAGGGCCTGATTATATAGCCCTGGGGGAGCAATGTGAGCCCTTGGATCAAATAGACTTAAGGAACGGCGTAGATGCAACCTAGGAGGCGGTAGGGAACCGATGTTCGAAGGGCAGGCTAACATGTGGGACCTAGGGATCAGCCAGTATGGGGGTGGGACCAGGCGGTCCCACCTGTCATCCTCTTGGGGCCCGCTTCGGTGTGGTATCCTCTAGAATCTTCCCATGTAGGTTTCGTCGCGGATTAGATATCTTTTTATTTCGGACTCCAAATATAGCAACTGATATATCCATTTCGATCAGAGCGACAAGCTCTTTGCAATGGTGCACTCCAATTTATAATTTGAGATACTTTTATTTGGTGGAATTCCATTGTTTTCTTTTGATGATTAGGTCCTCCTTGGCGGTTTTCTAGATATACCTTGCTGAAAACATAGATTCACCAAAACTCATGGAATTTATTAGTTTAAACTCCTAAACCTTTATTGGTGATTACATTTATGCCCTTATCCATGTTTAGTTGATGGTTTAAATTGGTTGATAACTACTGTCAACAACTCCCCCAAGCTTAACCTTTGCTAGTCCCTTAGCAAAGCTAAACTTAGTAATGAATCAGGAGTTGCTATAATGTTTTCACGCCTCAAAAGTACACAGGTATTCAAACAAAAATTCTCCTCCAAATTTGAATAAACTAACCTGACTTTCAAAACTTACCCATATTACCTTTAGCTATGGGGCTTCTTAGCCTTCACTTGGGTCTTGAGCAATTAAAAGACAGAACGATCAAGTCAAGCACTATGTCTCAAGTTCTTTGTTTTACTCATTGTTTCGGAGTTTTTTATAGGTTTTCAAAATAAAACTCAGAGATTACATTGTATGACACTCTCAAGTCTCTTAGTATATGTGATATTTGTGGATCCTCACCAAGGCAATAATGATGTTATGCCTTTTTCTTCTTACCACTAAGGTTTATGTGGAGTTCATAGGTAGGGAGAAAGCTAGAGCATACTTGCAATGCATATATTGTAAAGTCAAACAATAGATCCAAAGAGAGTTAAATCATACAATCAAATCAAGATGTGCATGTGTGTGGATGTATATGGTGGCTAATTCTAATTTTACTTTGCTCCTTGAAAACATATCTCTCTTTTGAAACTTGGAAATAATTGCTAGAGAACAGGGGCTATCTTATTCAACTCTTCTCTTTTTTCAGGCGGGCATCTAAGTACCAATTGTTTTGATAATTCGAACACTTGTCCCTTTTTTCAATATTTTTTTCTATGAATAACTTTTGCATAGCCCCATGTCTCTTTTCTGCAACAAAACTCTTGAGAGATAGCAACAAGAATTTGGAGCATTTATTTGGTGGATGAAACCTATCAAGAATATTTTTGGTGTTTACTCTTAGTGTAGGAGTAAAACATTTTTGGGTGGATCTAGATAGAATGACATGTTTCTGCTCCTACCCCTAGTGTAGGAGTAGTGCGTATGTAGGTGGAGTATACGTGATCTTGATTTTAAGAGCATGACAAACCTCTCATAAGGGTCAACAAAGCTTGACAAAACTCAATAAAAAAACAAGCAACATATACGTGGAAGTTTTCCTAGCCTAAATAACATGTATGGCTCTGGTGGGAATTCAAGCTTTGTCATTAAATGGAACTCATCGTGTAGAATTTTTATGTTTTTCAAAAAGTAAATCTTCAGAACTTTAGTGTCACTAGGAACAAGATAAACATCAGCTCAGAACTACTCATATCATATCCATCAAGAGATAATTCCTTATTTGACACCAGACAAATGACCTATTCCTTCCTTGGCCCTCGAAATTTTTTTCTTCCTTATTTGACACTGACTTCAACTTTCGTTCCCAAATTGACATTCTGTTGGAATTCCCGTCGTGGAACCGTCAAATGCCCTGCGAAAAGACAATGTTGTCCATGTGGGTCCCACCACCCTTCTCCCTTCTTTCCTCCCCTTCTCCCTCCTCTCCTCCACACTGGAGCCTCCCCCTGCAGCCACGCCGGAGCTTCCCTCCTAGGCGGCCGCGCCTCCCTGCGACTCCTCGGCGGTTTGCGCCTACCGGCGACGCTCGGGCGAGCGCCGCCGGTGCCTGGACGCGCATGGGCCTGGCGCACGGAGGTGACTCGCCGGGGAGGACAAGGCGAGCCTGGCAGCATGGACTCACCGGAGGAGGCCGAGGCAGCGCTGGTGCACAAGATCTCTAGCCTGACCGCCGCCATCGTGAAGCTGCCGTCGCTGAGCCCGTCGCTGGAGGTGAACGCGCTCTTCACCAACCTCGTGATGGCCTGCATCCCACGTAGCATGATGGACGTGGAGCGCCTGGCCCCGGAGCTGCAGCGCATGCGCGCGTCGCTCATCCGCCTCTGCGCCGACGCCGATGCCCTGCTGGAGGCGCACTACTCTGACCTGCTGGCAACCTTCGACAACCCACTGGACCACCTGACGCTCTTCCCCTACTTCAGCAACTACCTGCTGCTAAGCCAGCTGGAGCACGCCCTGCTGGCACACCACGTCCTAGGCCCGCGTCGCCTTCGTCGGCTCCGGCCCGCTCCCGCTCAGCTCCCTCGTGCTCGCGGCACGCCACCTCCCTACCACCGTCTTCGACAACTACGACATCTACGGGGATGCCAACGACCAGGCGTGCCGCCTCTTGAGCGCCGACGCCGCGCTCACCGCGCATATGGTGTTCCACACCTCCGACGTGGCCGACGTCACTAGGGACCTGGCCGGATACGACATCGTCTTCCGGGTGGCGCTTGTGGGCATGGCCGCCGAGGAGAAGGCCCGCGTGGTGGAGCACCTCAGGAAGCACATGCCCCCCAGCGCTGCGTTGGTGGTGCGGAGCGCGCACGGCGCGCGCGGGTTCCTGTACCCCGTCGTGGACCCCGAGGAGATCCACCGGGGTGGCTTCGACGTGCTCGCCGTGCACCACCTGGAGGGGGAGGTGATCAACTCCGTCATCATCGCGCGCAAGCCTGTCCCCGTCATCGACGTGCACGCCGTCGCTGGGAGAGGGAGAAGGAGAGGAGAGGAGGGAGAAGGGTGTGGAGCATGGGCAAAATCGTCTTTTCGTAGGGAACTTAACGGTGGTTGGATGGAAAATCAAACAGAGTGTCAATTTTGGAACGAAAGTTGGAGTTAGTGTCAAATAAGGAAGAAAAAAATTTCGAGGGCCAAAGAAGGAATGGGTCATTTGTCTGGTGTCAAATAAGGAATTGTCTCATCCATCAATTATCCTAGACTTAGATCAAGCATTCGCTACCCATGAGTTTTAAGTTCAGAGTAAATCTTTATATCAAATCAATCTTATTCAAAACTCGGGAGAATTCAAGGTGGAAAACTAGGTACTTAAAAGGAATTACGATAGAACAACTATTCATCATTTCCATTGCAAGAGATTTTTTTGAGTTCTCTTTATTTTATTCAACTCTTAAAAACAAAAAACTAGACACATACCTTTTATTTTTGTTTTCATAATTTAAGATCACACCTATTATATATATAGCTAAGATAAATTTTTATTTTTTTTAGTTTATTATGCATCTTTTTATGACTCTAACAAATATATAGAAAACTCAAAAATAGTAAAGCCGAAAAGAGAAAGAAATACTTAGCTGGATACATGGGGATGCTCCTCCCCCAAGCTGGATGTTATCGTAGTTTTTCCTATCCATCCAGAAGTTATGTTCCTCGCATAGCGGGTGTAGCAGCGGTTTGTAAGAATATAGTTCGGATGAATGATGTTACTCTTGATCATCCTGCAAAATACTCTAACAAGAACACCAAAACTCGTTGCATATATTAGGATAAGGAGTTAGCGGTCAACCATTCAGAGATATGTTGTCCTTGGAGGTTTAGAAAGATTTTCTAATTGACAAAGTTCTAACAGGATGTCTATTAATATATTTTTTTGGATTTTCTTATTTATATAATCTAGAAAGAAAATATGCATAGAGAGAATATGTATGCATGCTATATATATTTTTTCTGCCACCACAGTGAATATTACCTTGGGCTTTTACATACCGAGAAAATGCTTCACATGGGGCTTTAGTTTTTTATGATGCAATAATGTAATGCAGTAATGAATTTTTTTTATTTTTCTTTCTAAATGCAATGCTAATACAGAAAAGTAAATATGCTAAAAGTGAAAATAATTCATGCAATACTAAAAGGTAAATATGAATAACTACCGATGTTACCTCACGACAAGGGTTCGGTTTTTAAGTCCTCCGGACAGGACTCGGCTAGAGAAGAGTTCTTACCTTTCGGGTGCATCATCCGATCTCAGCGATGGAGACCTAGATGGCTGCCTATCTTGTGACGGTGTCTCTAATGATGATGTTACCTTATTCCGTCAAACCCGTCTTGGTTTTGAGTTTTGATTTTTGTTTGGACAGGTTCAAGACCTTCGCTTGGGGAATCAATGATTCTCTCACACTTTGCTTGAAGTGTGTCCTACTCATACAAACAAGGTAGAGATCAAGTGCATGGGATCTGTTGGTGGGAAATCACCAACAGAACCAAAACTTTTCTTATTCTTCTCTAACCTTAGGCACATTGAACTAGATGAAGCTGAGGTTATATGTTTTGTTCATTGATATCATGGGTGGTAAGATCAGAAGATTAGGCATGAATATAGCATTTAAGTTCATTTGACAGAAAGGATTGAGTTGCGTAACCCATGGAAGGATTGTCTATCTCTACATGATATATCAAACTTTGCATGATTATGACTATCATCTTCTAGAGATAAGATGTGTAGTGTTTTAGCTCATTTGGTTAAGACTATAAAATTAAGAAAGTGGTACTAGGAACAAGCTTGAAGAACTAAACATGTTGAGTTAATCAGGTTTGATGTTGGTAAATTATAACTCTAACATATTTTGTTTCTTATTTATGTGCCTACCAGAATCAAGAAAAAATCTTAAATAATCACCATTTACCTTATGATGTTACCTTTGTTATTGGAGCATGAAATCACCATATGACAAAGGGTAGATGACTCGTGATGGTCCTTCTCTTTTGCTTGAAGTTTTCCTTGTCCGGCTAGCCTCATAGTATGAGTTGTTCATGAGCTTCTTATTTCTTAGGTCACACATTTCTTTTTCATCCTTTTGTCATACCATCTTTCTGCTCTTTGATCTTTTAAATCCTTGTTAGACATTTTGCCTCACTCATTATTTTATGCCTGCAAAAGATTAGTGGACAACACATACCCGAAGGAACATACAATTTTGAAACACGGGTTGTTTGTCCAGAATTCTATAATTTTCATCTATGCTAATGAAAAGATGGTTTTGAATCACTTTAGCATAGGTTTTGTTTATCATGTGTTTATGTGTTTGCTGCATTCTATTATGATTCAAGGCAAAAGTAACTTGCAATAAAAGATAAGTGAATAAACCTTGATACTCATAGTTCTTCCTTCTATGAAGAATGAGTTGGATCTTCGTTGTGCAAAGTTATTGGAGTTCATCACTTGCTTTGATTCATCTCCGATGTGAATTCATCTCTTAACTTACCCAGATTGAATTTGAAAGTTTTCTACAGGGATCAGTCCAACAAAATATCCAATATCTACTAAAGTATACTACCAGTTCAAAAATCAACCTAGACACCATGTCTAATTTGATTTAGAAACACATTTTAATCTAAGCACCATGCTTAATTTAAAAACCTTTGGAAGTAAGATCAACACACCTCTTGGTTTGAAAATCAAACTAAACACCTTGTCTAATTTGATTTAAGAAAATGGTTTAAACTAAGCACCATGCCTAATTAAAAAGGTGTATGAAGATACTCCAAACCTAAGCATACTATAGCAAACAAAGATAGCATGAAAACATATAAGAGATTTATTCGAATGGAGATGAAAGAGCATGATCATGGTGAGATATATATTTTATTGTTATTTTTTAACAAGCATGAGTCTTCATGTATTCATATTTTTTTCTTTTTTTTACTTGGACCTTCATGTGCCCATATTTTTTTCTTTATTTAATAAAGATGCAAGTGGGATGGATATATAAACGGAACTAAACATGTTGTGGATTTGATATGAGAAAATTCTAGCTAAATGAGATGGATGCATGGATTGTTTAAAGTAAACATGCAATGGAATGCAAGAATTAAGAAGGTAACTACTCATAAAGTTTAAAGTCCATGAGCGACTATCTCACCTTTCTTGATCATACTTACAATGACTCACATGATGGAATCTGTGAGTAGTGTAGCTTCTATATTCGTCGCTTGAGATGTGATTTGAATTCTTGTGACGATGACCTTTTCTCCAATCTACACATGGTTAGAACAATATATATATGTATGCACAAACCTGTGAGATAGCAGGGTTCTAAAGTTGATGGATTATAAATGCTTAGGCACCCTGGGGTTCTTCAATATTTCTTCTTTTCTTGTGGAAGTTTGCCGGAAGGTCAAAACGGCTTCTGATGTCCTGTCTTATTCCACAATTCAACAGAACATGGGTAATTCTACTAAAGCCAGTTGTACACTAAATTAGCAAACATCAAGATCACTATCAAAATCCTTACACCAATTGCTTCCCGGCAATGGCGCCAAAAAGCTTGTTGATATTTATTAACGCACATAGAAAAATTCTACAAGCGCACGGATACCATTATAGCTTTTACCCAGGAGTATTCTAGAGTATCGTATTTATCCATAGGAAAGCAATGTTTAAAGAACTTGATAGTTGACCATCATATATCTACTAACTAATATACCAAGTCGACTAAAGTGAGGGTAAGTATTGATAATGATAGGAGTTATGCATAATGACACACATGGGAGGATTCTATGATAAAAGAGTAGTTTAGCTAAATCGAGAAAACAACAGGAGAGTTCAAGGTTCCTATATACTGCTCTATTACTTTGGTTCTATGATAATTGAAACATAGGTAGATATAGCAATCACACAATAACACTTTGGGACATCAAAACTCTAGCCACAGAGAGGGGTGAGAAAAGGGCTAGGAATCTCTGACTATGGTCCTACAAACATCAACCTACACGTGGTGGACTACGTCGGCCGTCACGGCTGTCACCAACTAGGGCTACCACAACTATCCGTGAGGTTGAGTGCAATCTCAGGTAATCTCTAGTCTAGACACCATGTCTATACTATCGATTACTACTCTAGTCATGTACGATAACTGGAGCACCCGATGCGAGCGGAGATCTCATGCTAAGGTGTAATAACTACACTAACCAATCATATGAAAGACATAAAAGTAGATAGAGAAGATAAATATATTAAAGCATAAGTCTTGCAAAGGTAAGATACACAGACATACCAGACCTCCAAAGAATTCTCCAGAACTTGAAAGTAGCTCGACTCTCCCTAACTCTCAACTAGAACTAATCTACTACATTGGAGAGAGGTTGATCCCTCAATGGGACACCTCTCAATCCATGCACTAATCATCCTAGTGAGGTCTTGATCCCAAGAGATGAATATAAATTAGGGTTTTAGGGATGATCTCCAGAGAGGGGGTTGGGTCTGGCTATATAGCCCTGGGGGAGCAACGTGAGCTGTTGGATCAAACCAACTTAAGGAACGGCGTAGATGCAACCTAGGAGGCGGTATGGAACCGACATTCGAAGGGGAGGCTGACATGTAGGACCCAGGGAACAGCCGGTATGGGGGTGGGACCGGCCGGTACCACCTGTCATCCTCTTGGGTTCTGCTTCGGTGT